TAACAAATAACACATAAGCAGGAGTCAAATAGAATCCTATTAATATCCCACTAAGGACTTCCTCACCAATGGTAATAGGACACCGATAGGAGTCCTCTTCAAGTTCTTAAAGTACTCCTGAAAAGACAATTAATTGGACATCAATATTAAGTATATTTACGTATGACAATATATCGTATAATCATAGGCGTGCGCAGACTTAAATTTCTGGTCGAGCCTAGACAATTATAGTGCCCTAATATTTGGACAGCGCCCCAAATTTTTTTTTTAACACACCAACATACATGTTGATATATTAACCTATTAATGTCTATAGTACTATAGTTATTGTATTTGTATAAGGGAATAATGTTTTTTTTAAATTAATAAAATGTATGTAGTCATTAGGTTAGGTAGTTACACAAAAATTGTTTTTGATTTTTTTTATACTTTCACGTCAAACAAAGTTTTTATGATCTTCACGAACATATTTTTATAATATAAACATTTTAATAAAATATTTAAATATATACGCACATTTTACTATGCCCCTAAAAAAGTTTCAGGTCGAGCCTGGAGGCTTGACCGGCTCGCCCCGTGTTGTTACATTTGAAAATATCATTGTGTATATAAAATAAGATAAATATACTCTAAAATTTTCATATACCAACTAATAATACTTTAAAATTACAACAAAATAACTAAAACCGTTATTCTTGGTTTTAATATGTCATTTCGTCCGAATTTGAATTTAAAATGTCTGTAAAAAATAATAGTGATTTTATATTTTTTGGCGACAGTATGAACTATTAATGAGAATCATGGTTTTAAATTATCAATCCTTAGTTATAAAAGTAGTTATATTTTAAAATTTTTTAATTACAAAGATTGATCATTTTCGAGATTTTGATAAATTCAATAAGGTTAGAAACTAAATTAATGTCATTATGAATAGTGAATTGATCAACATTTGTGTACAAATTATTATTTGTTAACCATTTATTTACAAAATTATTTAATACATCAGCAATTGTTTCAATCAATTTATTTTCTGTACATTCATATGTACTAGACTGCTTTAACATATGTATTACTTTAAAATGGACCACCAATGTAGATAACGATGAAAATGTAGATTTACAGTTAAAACAAGTCATTTCAAATTAATTTACCATCATAGAATTTTCAACTAAATAATAAGGTACCTAGGTATATAGGTAAAAATGTAAGTATATATTATATTAAATTTCAAAAATTAGAAACCTAAGCCTATCTACCTACCTATGTTTGCTGAAAAAATATAGAAATTGCTATAGGTATATAACAAGTGTATAATCATAATAGTATAAAATTAAAATTATGCAAACTAATTTTGTTCATTCCACCCCATACAACAATTGCATATGAAAGCAAAAAGTTACCATCCTGAGATGATTGTTAATATTTAGAATATATTTCAATGATTTAAATTTAAAGAACAAGCGTCTATCAGTGGCGTCCGCAGGATTTTTCAATTGGGGGGGGGGGGGTGCTTGAAAATTAGTTACAAATTTCTTTTTATTTTGTTCAGTCTAAAAATTTCAGACGTTTATTTGAGGTATTTTAAAATGTTTGTTACTTTTCAACTTTTCTGGTAGAAAAAATGCTCTTATCATAAGCTTCGATGCCCAGTGTATGTTTTTGGAAGCAAATTGGATCTAGTTGGTACTTTTAGGAGGTCGAAATTGAATCTGCTCAGTGCTTTTAAAAGTACCTAATTGGAAAAAAAAAATGAAAACTTATTTAAATTGTTTGGTAACAATAGCTTGGTTACAGTGACGTATTTATGGGGGGATATGGGGGATAGACCCCCTCCCTTACCCATGTTTTTCCATGTATAAAGTACAAACTGCTGCAGTACTGTTGTTATTTATAATTTTGTTATCCTGTGGGCATGTGAGTGACATTACACAACATTTATTATTATTATATACCTTACATGGAGTAGGTAACTAACAAAAAGTTGCAATAGCACAAAACAAATTTTGATATCCTCCTCCTAAAGAAAATCCTATATACGCCTCTGCTTGGTTATATAGTCCTCACTTGGATTGTATTTGATTAATAAAATTTTTTTTTTATAAATGTCAATAAAAAATTATTTATCCGGTCGAAAAGCTTAAAAATGTAATACGCAAGTTTTTTTTTACATATGCATTTAAAGTTCAAAACAATTTAACCACAGTTAATTTGTAGTTCAAAACTTATAAAATATGAAACATGTATAGCTAAGGCTAGACAATTTAATACAAGGTCTTTCATACAAGTAGTTCATTCTTTTACCGAAAAATTACAGATAATTTATGAAAATTGGTATGCAAATACAATGTTTTTTCAAAAATGAATTCATTCTGGTAAGACATATAAGAAAGTTACGTCTTGCTTACTATAGTTGACAGTTTAAACTTGATTCATATTTTTTTTAAAAAGTAATAATAATACGGGCAATGGGGGGGCTTTAGCCCGTTAGCCCCCCCCCCCTGCGGACGCCACTGGCGTCTATAGTAGTGCCATTCAGAGAGTGCCACTCGTTGGCGTATCCAAATGATCGAGCTTCGCGGTTATACCTAAATATTTTATACTAGCTGTTTATGTATAATAAAGACTATACAAACACCATCAGCTCCATTAAAACCATTTATTAGAATCATTTATTTTATCATTTATTTCTTTTTTTTAAGAGATTTTTGCAGACTTCAGAGATTACTATAAAATAGTAGGTACTGCACTACTAACCGCACTAATGCGTATTATTACCATAAAACATTATTGAAGCAAAACTCGATCAGCTGATTCGGCTTACGTTTACACTTTTTGGCCCAACAGATAAAACGTTATTGAAATTTATAAAAAATAAAAACTAAAAAAATTGAAAATTGAAAATGTCCGTAAACAGCTCAAAAAGAGTCAAAATATTTTCAAAATTGTATGGTGTAAAGGAAATGCTATTATAAACATTCAGTGAAATTGTTATGTATCTACAGTCATTCGTTTTTGAATTACAACAAAATAAGAAAATCGCTACATGAGAAATCGAGTGAATATCCAATATTGTAAAAATTTGAATTTCAAACGCTCATAAAAATTTAATTTGACTTTCTTATAGACATTTATTTCTTGATAAAGGTAGATAATCTTATAAAGAATCTTGTACCACATTTTAAAATCTTTGATTTAAAAAGAAACATTTTTACGAATTCTTAACTCAAAATAATTTGCTAATTTTCGTTATTATTCCATATTTTGTCAATTTTTGGACTTTAAATGCTTATAAAAAAAAATAACTTTGACTAAGGATTTTTAATATTTTTCATCTGCTTTTGAAACAATATAGTAGGAGCCTTGTATTAAATTTTCAAGCTTTTTTAACCAATTGGAAACTGAAAATGTCCCTAAACAGTTCAAAATATTTCAAAATATTTTGAAAATGTTATCGTGTATAGAAAATGCAAATATAAACAACCAGTGAAAATTTCACTTACCTATCTACGGTCATTTGTAACTACTGGGAAATTTTCACTTTTGACCCCCCAAAGTACCAACTAAATTCACTTTCCTATAAGAAAAGCTACTGTTGAAGAAAATCCAAGCACTTTTACTGTCCTAAAACGTGATGACAGACACAAAAAAAAAAAAAAAAAAACAAAAAAAAACACACACATCATTGTAAAATCAATAGGTACATTCATCGTTTCACTCAGAATCTAAAATTGAAAATATGTTGTCTCTGCTTGTTATTTTAGTCCTAGGAAAAATATATAAATCTATAATAAATTATAAATTAATATAAATTAATCTAAAATAATATGTTAAAAACTTAAATGTTGATGTTTTGTATCATACAAAATATTCCATAATTATCATTATTTATAAATATTAGTATTATAGTTTTTTTTGTTAGGTTTAACATATCATTTAAGACCAACCTAAATAAAATTATAAATTATAAATTTTATTTTAGTAAAACATACTTTTCAAATATTCAATATTATTTATAAATTGCTTGAGTTACCTAATGAATTAATTAATGATTTAGGAATATTTAACATAATAATATTCATTTTTATACTATTTTAAAACTACAATCTAAATGTTTACTAAATATTCATTCTGTATTAAGTAAATAAATCATACAATTTATAAAAATACTCAAAATAGTCATGGTCATAACTTAAAAATTTTGAAATATTATGATAGATACCTATCGCTAATTCAGTAACATAATAAACAACTACCTACATATTATTAAGTAAATAGTACTTTTATAAAACTACCAACAGGTTTATTTTCACAGATTAAAGGGATATGTTCACCATGTCACCATGTCTGAAATTTCTGCATAACTCCACAGAACTGAAGACATGAATATAAAACATAAATAATACAAGACAAGAAAAATATACATTATTATAAATTATATTATATTCTACGGATCATAATATAAAAAATAACATTAATAATTATAAAATTAAGGGTAAAATTATTACTGATACAACAGCTCTGTTTGCAATAATTTGGATTTCATTGCAAACCTATCAATTGCCTTTTCTTAATTTATATCTATATCTGGTGAACATGATTATAACATTAAATGGTCAAGCCTTGATTCACCCATTGATGACCTATGTTTGTTTTTTTATTAATTTGAGTTTTGAAAAGGTTCTTTCGGCTGTCGCTGAAGTGGGAGGAAGTGTACATATTGCTTTATAGACTGTATATAAATTTGGAAATGCTGATTCCAGATTAAACTTGCATAACAGTTTTAAGATTTGGACCATTTTAAAATCTGACTTTTTGATTTTTTCGATACTTTCCGTTTGAATATCATCATCACTATTTTCTGTGTCTTCTGCATTCGATCGAATGATATGAGATTTGTTATAGAATGTAGAAAGGTTGTTTCGTTAATTTCGTAAATGTATGATCTAAATTAATATTTATTAACTAAATTAATTAACGGAATTTACCCTTTAGATGAAAACATGGTGCTTTGCAAAATACCTACTTTAAGTAGACATTTGAACGAATCAATAAGTACTAGTGAAGATACTGGAACGAGTTGGTGCGAAACATTTGAAAATTTTTTATCTGAATCAAGGGTTAAAGAAACATTTAACCTTAGAAAAAACCAACTCAAAAAGTTATCAGTTCAACCAGGAAAGAGCATTACTTCAAAAGCAGACCTTAGTGACGAAGAAGACTTTGACATAAATCAGCCATCTACCAGCAGTTTGAATGCTGTTTCAAATACTCCATCAACTTTAAAAAGTCGTAAAATGGTAAAGTCTCTATCAACTCAAGAATTTTCTGTTTCTGGGTTTTGCAAAGGTGATTTTGTAGTTGCTCATTTATTGTACAATGTAAATACTTCCAAAGAGGGAATAAAGAAATTTTACGCTCAAATTGAGGATATAGATGAAAATTCCGATCCTATACAGTTAAAGCTAAAATATCTAAAGTAATCGGTTGGATCGAGAGATATTTATACATTTCCTCTGATAGAAGATAATGGATATGTAACAGTGGATCAAATTTCCGACATTGTTTACCCTGGTGTGTTTAAACACAAACGTTATAAGTTTCCTTCAACAGATTAATACAAGGCTGACTACCTATAAATTGTTTTCATTTTTATTTTATTTTGATTATTTCAGGTTGATTTAATATTTTTTATTTAATTTTGTATTAACAAGTATTTTATGTATGTTTTATCATTATACCTATTAAAAGTTATTTTAGGTTAAGCATATTGACTAAAAGAATTGAAACTAAAACAAGGCTGACTACCCATAAATTGTTTTTATATTTATTCTATTGTAATTATTTCAGGTTGATTTAATATTTTTTATTTAATTTTGTATTAACAAGTATTTTATGTATGTTCTATCGTTATACCTATTAAAAGTTATTTTAGGTTTAAGCATATTGACTAAAAGAATTGAAACTAAAATAAGGCTGACTACCTATAAATTGTTTTTATATTTATTTTATTTTAATTATTTCTGGTTGATTTAATATTTTTTATTTAATTTTGTATTAACAAGTATTTTATGTATGTTCTATCGTTATACCTATTAAAAGTTATTTTAGGTTTAAGAATATTGACTAAAAAAATTGAAATTAAAATAAGGCTGACTACCTATAAATTGTTTTTATATTTATTTTATTTTAATTCTTTCTGGTTGATTTAATATGTTTTATTTGATTTTATATTAACAAGTATGTTATTTTGGTTTTGTTATTGTATTAAAAGTTTTTTAATACATACACTTATTTAAGTCAACATTCACATTTTTTTTAAAAACAATTATTAAGTCCCAAGTTAAATAATATCAAAGTTAACTTGAATTTTACATAGAAATATATGGGTGTCAAAAGTTACCCAAAAATCAAGGTAACTTGGGACAAGCATATTTTTTTTAAAAAAAACGGGAAGGGGGGAGGAATCAAAAAAAAAAACATATGGTTCTTATAGTCTAAGTCAAGACCAGCATTTTTGTTCATTACCATTATTAATATATTTTGAAAACTTTTCGATCAGTATTCATCCGAAGTTCAAAAGTGTCCCAAGTAACCCGGTTTGACGGTATAAAATAATTTTTATTTTATTCATTTTAAATCTTCAGAAGATAATGGCCCACACTGCCCACTTAATCCCTGGACCTGGAGGCATTTTTTATTTTAATTCTGGCTTAATAATAAGTTGAACTGCGCAAACTAATTTTAGGTATTTTTGAGCAGTCAGTTTGTGCAAATGAACTGAGTAAATTATTTAGGTTTAGACGTTCAGTTATTGACACACATTTGTGTTCAGTTATAATTTGACACTGTAGCAAAAATGTCGTCGATTACCGAACAGGAGCTATCTATTCTCGCAGTGTGTGTGATTAAAAAAAAAACAATTAATACTTCAAAAAATAAATGAAAATAAAATAAATAAAAAGAAGTGGTCGAAAAATTGGTTGTTAAAAAGACAACAATTTTCGCACGTAAATTTAATTGGTGAATTATCTGGAGAACCAGATGACTTCAGGAACTATCTTCGTATGGACGAAGAGACATACAGTTTACTACTGTCATTAGTTTACAATACCATTCAAAAACAAAATACAGTTACGAGAAACTGCATAAGCCCTCATGAAAGACTTACAGCAACATTAAGGTTTTTAGCAACTGGCCGAAGCTATACCGATCTATAGTATTCAACTATAATATCAAAACCAGCACTCAGTAAAATTATTCCTGAGACATGTGATGCAATTTATTCTGCCCTTAAAGACACTTACTCAGTGGCGTATTTACGGGGGGGGGGTCCATGGGGTCCGGTCGTCCGGACCCCTCCCATTGACTCGTGTCTCGTACATGTTAAATGTTGAGCAGTTTTAACATGATTAAAAAACAAATTTTATCATACGATTTTACGGATTTTATAAAAAATGTTTGAAACTATAGTTATATCAACATTTTCAATAAATATCGTGATTATTTTTATCAGTTGGGTACCGAAAATGGTTGAAAAATACCAAATTCATTTTTAATTCAAATATTTTGTAGTTGTGTACATTGCCAGTATCTACAACCACTCCAGAGAGATCTTTTTCAACCTTTTTAAGGTTGAAAAGCTATCAAAGATCAACTATGAATGAAGTAGGCACCTAATGTAATTAAGGAAATATTTGTATAAAAGTTATAACATATAACTATAGGTATAATATATATTCGATTCTGAGGGATCTATTGGTTCTACAATGGTGTTTATTTTTTTTCCTGTATACAAAATTTTTTCCAGAAGGAGTTCTTCGATTTCAACATGTATAGACATATAGTAACTTATCTTTTAGAAAATTGGATCAAGATAGTACTTTAGAGAGGTCATTTTTCGATTTTCTCAATAGTTATTTAATGCCACTGTAAAAACCACCAAAAAATTACGAAAAACCGCTAAAAATAGGATCTTAATTTCTAACACTTTGTCTATCACCATAGAAAAAAATAAAAGTATTTCATTATTAATTCAACTTACAGGCTATAATAAATAATAACAATATAAAATATCCAGACTGACAAACCGTCTTCGCTCAGAATCGTTTTTCTTATACAATGATATTATGATATTATATCATTGAGTTCAAGTTTAATACAATCCATTATACATTGACCCACTTGTAACCTACTGTACAGCAGCAGAGTGACATCCACTTACCCGCTTCTTTTTAAATTTGTTTTGTACATATTATTATTTAATAATTAAAAACTCGACAATTTTATATCGTCTTATAAATATGGTATATTTTATTTAATAAAGAGTAAATGGGTGGTGTGGGGGGCTTCGTCCCCCGTGGCTCTGTGTTCTGAAAATTATCTGGACCCTCCCCATGACAAATTCCTAAATACGCCACTGCACTTACTTAAAGGTAAGATAGATAATTAATAGATAATACCTACGTAGCTATTTAGTCATAAATAATAATATAAGATTAGGTTATATAATATTATTTAACATTAAAACACTTGATATAGAACCAGTATATCCGTATAGGGAAAACAAACACAAACACTATTTCATATACAATTTTAAATGTCAACTTTTTTTATTCAAAAATAAAAAGCTAGAAATAAAATAATATGCATACTGAGAAAAGGAAAACTTATTAAATATAATGTATATTAACTGGTTTAAGAAAAATGAAATAATACATTTAATATACCTATGGACTATAGACTCCTCGTCATAATAATACTATTGGTACTTAACTGGTACATAATTTTTAGTGGGTTCATACAGTGTATACTTTATATTGTATTCTATATGGTGTTACAATTAATTATCTAGTGTTTTTCTGGTTTCTGTGTTAACTAGTTGGTCAGAGTTGTAATGTATAAATGATTGCTGTATTTCAGTATCGGATGAGGGATTTTGTTGAAAACCTGGATAATTTGGCACTGGTTGAAAATATTGAGGATATTCTTGAAGAGAAAACGATTGTCTGATGGAGGTTGAGGTTGTGCCTGATATCTAGTTGATGATTGAAGGGAAGCTGAAGTATCAAAATATGGTTGATTTGGATGAATTGATAATGTGCAATGATGGTTTAAATTCCCGAGTTCTACTTCATATAGCACGTCATTAATTAATTTTTCTGCATAAATTATTTGTTCCTTGTTTATTTCGCTAAGTTTATAAGCCCATGTTTTCCCAATCAAATCAAACTTGTTTTCTGGTTTTAATGTAGATTCTTTAAGCCGTTTTCCTATTACTGATAATATACTATCACATTCTTCAAGTTGACTTTTTTGTGATCTTTTTGTTTTTAAATAATTTTGTGTTGTTTCACGATCGGTGCGTGTCAAATGTGAAATTGGTGATGTAGATTCTAAATCGGAAGTATTTTGGACTGATATTTCGGTAGGGTTATCAAATGAATGATTTGATGAATTGTTCAGATTCTCTTCGTATACAGTTAAATCCTAAACAAAGTAAATTGTGTACACAATTATACGTAACGGCAGAAAGTATCTCTACAATCAATATGTTTTGAACTACCTACAACTAAATAACTATACGTTATTTTTTACGTTTAAAAATAATAAAAACAATATAATATAAAGTCAACAGTATAACGATAAATATCAATGCATACAAAATCATTTTTAAAAATAATTGTGCATATGAATTCAATTTTTTAAATTTCCAAAAGATCAACTAATGAAGAATCTTATATTTAATTTTCAAACTTTTTAAGCGTGAAATTGTTTTTATCGATATGTATATAAAAAACAAAATTTGAAAATGTAAAATATTGAAATATGAAAAAAGCTTAAAATGTAGATATTTAAATACTTTTAAAAAAGTACTCATCTAAAATAAAGTTACAATATTAATTAAAATATTTAAAATGTTTTTTTTCCAAAGATAGAAAGTGAATGGAAAATTATAGCAACAGAGTTTGAAGAAAAGTGGCAATTTCCACATTCTCTAGGAGCGGTCGACGGTAAGCACATTCAAATTGTTGCTCCTCCAGGAAGTGGATCATACTATTATAATTATAAACATACATTCAGTATAGTGTTAATGGCGATCGTAAACGCAAATTACGAATTTGTTATTTGCGATGTGGGTACCTACTAATGGACGTGTATCAGATGGAGGAGTTATTGACAACACCAAGTTCTATAAAAACCTCCAGAGTGAAACTCTGAACTTACCAAAAGCAGAAAATGTAAATGGTAGTAATAAAAAATTAAACTATGTTTTTCTTGGTGACGAGGCATTTTCGTTAAGACCAGATTTTTTAAAGCCATACAATCTGAGAGAACTTACACTAGAACGTCGAATATTCAATTATCGTCTGTCGGGGGCTCGCCGAACAGTTGAAAACGTATTTGGTATTTTAGCGAATCGATTTAGAATATTCCATACTTCGATTAATTTAAAAATTGAAAACATAGACAAGGTCGTAATGGCATGTTGCGTACTTCACAACTTTCTGAGGAAACGTATCTAATACAATGACAAATATATTAAATTCGGACATAGATGTCGAAGATAATGAACTTGGGACACTTACAGCAGGATTGAGATCAGATCAAAACAATTTATTAGATCTTCAGAGAGGGCAAAATTGATAAAGCTTTTTGATTCAGAGCTCTGAAGCTTCAGCAGATTTTGAAGAATACTTTAATAATGAAGGTAAAGTTCCATGGCAAAATAGAGTGGTGTAAATTGAGATGATTGTATATAATATAGTATTAAATAAAAAAATAAAATAAAAAAGGTGAGCTTATTATTATAATTATTTTAACGAGTTAATGATATTTCAAAGGTAAAATTATGTACAATGTTTTTGTAAATTCATTATTCAACAGTTTTTTTTTTTATTTTTCGTTATTAAGATATGTTAGGTACTTACCTATTATTATTTTAGAACAATTTATTTTAATGTACTTAATTATATTAAATTATTTGTTATGTAAAGTATTTCAGATATGAAAGTATTTTTATAAAAAGTAAAACTGATAGAAAAAGTATGAATTAAATAATTAAATATGTAATTTTACATTTATCCAAGTCCGTACATTTTAATTTTATTAAAATAAAATATTTTATTTTAAATAAACTCATTAGTTTTTAATAAATATTAATCACACATGAGGAGTTAACCTAACTTTTGTATTAAATAAAAATATATGTGATAGTATTATTATTAATAATAGAAAAGTAAAAAGTAATATGATGTTACCTACCTGTGAATCGTCCATATTACTTATTGCATCTCTCGGTATTTCCTGGTCTCTGATAAAATCAATTTCATTAAAATAAAATAAATGTGGAGTGTATATATCCTCTTCACCAGCTCCTGACCGTACAGAATCCTTAATTTTTTTTATTTCTTTCCGATATGCTGAACGTAATGAGTTAATCTTCTTAACCATGGCATCTCTATTTGCGTTTTCATCAATCTCCTTCATTTTTGCGATGAGAACTTCATATGCCCGATCTTTGATATTTTGGTTAGAATTTTTCTTTCGATTTAATTTTCCATAGACAGGGATATCATTTGTACAACTCAATAAACTCTAAAATGAACCTTTTATTTTTTAAGGATTTTTCTGATGACATGACTTTATATCACAATTTACACAACTTACACGTCAACAATTTTTATGACATAAAAATGAAAAATAAGTATACACTAGGTCAAGGCCGGGTTAAGAACCTATTGGGAATCGGGCTTGAAATTTCATATGGGCCCTTTTGACAAGGCACGCTTTAAAACAAACTGGCTACGCCCGTAGGAAGATACATTTTTCTAACTATTTCATAAATGGCAATTGCATTATAAAATTATAAAATGAATATGTAAGTATATGTAATTTATATGTATATAAAATATACAACCACTATTCACTAATTGTAATATAATAAAAGTAAAGACGGCAGAAGCTGATATGTACATTTTACAAACTTAGTTTTGCCGCTACATATATTTTCAAATACCTAATGACTTATCAGTTTTGGTCTTTGAATATAAATGACATCACACACATAATAGAGACATATATCTTATTAAGTATGATAGAAGAAACATTTTTTTAAAAAATGAAATATACGATTTCTAAACTATTTAAATGATATAATTGAAAAATTAACAAAATGTACATATCAGCTTCTGCCATCATTCCACAGAGTTAATACTTCATATTTCATTAATTTAAATTCAAATTTACATATCAACTTTTAAATTTATTAACATAATACTTATTTACAACAAATATTAACTAACAGTTATTAAATAACAATAAAATGAGCCTTTCCTACAAAAAGGTATTTACTATTTAGTTGTTTTTGTCGATAAAAAAAAAAATGGTTTTTAAAATATAGAAAAACTATTCTTTAAAATCACTGAAAAATGTGTATCAGCTTAAAATTGTTTGGGCCCCTTTCATTTTGGTACTTGAAAGGGACCCGGGGCTTTCGCCCCGGCTAGACCCCCCCTTAATCCGGCCTTGCACTAGGTACTACAACACTAGTAGAGACACTATTCTCAAATCATACGATTTTATAATCATACGATGTTCTGCAGTTCTTCGCGAGATACGACACGAATGGACATGTCCTCACATGCACTGTAGTCTGTATTGCATGATATTTATGAATTTAAGTTTGTTAATAATAATTTTATTTAAATGAAAATACAATATTTACTTGCAACTATATTATTATTATACAATACTGAACTGATCAAGGGTATTATTGATCGCCATAAAGTTAAAAAAAATGTACAGTACCTACAATTATATTATATAAGGACACGCGTGTTATATTGAAGTATTAGAGTTCAACCATAGTACCTAGGAACCGACGTTAATACTGTTTGAAATCAGGGGGGGCTCAAATTTGTTCATTTTGTTAAACGTGGTGTAAAATAATTAGGTTTTTTAGGGGGGGCTATTAGCTCCTACGCCTACTCAGCAGGTACTCGGTATAAGTGACTTACATAACTCTACAATAATATGTATAATTTAACATTTTATAGTATTCCCCATTTGATTAGTATTATAATATATGTAGAAGAGGTACATAATATTATAATATTAATTCAATAATATGTAAATTTAAAATTATTATTTTGTCCAAAACGCACAGTTATCCGTTTACACACATAGGAAAACTGCGCAACTACTATAACTGAACAGTTTTCTTTCAGACATCGCCTGAACTAGCACAGTCCAAAATTTTGAACTGGGCAGTCATACGATTTTCATTTACACATAGGTACAGTTAGTTTGCGCAAACTTAAGTTCATGCAGTCCATTTGCGCAGTTTAACTGAACGTGTAATCCCCCCTTTATAATTAAAAAATATATATTATTCTGGGCTTATCCAAGTAATAATTTGTCCTGTTATTTTGGTTATAACTTATAATATAATATTATTTTAATCTAATAAAATTATAATATACCTAGATAGCACCTATTACATTTTAATTGATTTAAAACAGGTAATAATAATATAATATACGTTTCTAAATATTTGTATTCAACATTTATTACCTGTATATTACTATTAAATTCTATTAAGTTTAGTTTTACCAAACTACTGAGCACTGACCCACTGGCCACCCATCCCCGCACTCCAAATTTTTTTACGGTAGAAGGTGCTTATAAGTCGCCTCTGCTTATGATCTGAAGTCTGAACCTAGGAAACGAGCATGTTGTTATTACATACCTATTGAACATATTGAAATTGAAACCACTAGAGTGCCATCAACGCTGGCCCATGTTTTACAACGGCGAGTACCTACTATTTGGTTATTTTATTTTTACATTTTGAAACCCTAGTATTATAATACTGAAAACATTACAATGATGATAACAAGTTTATAATTAGGTAATATTACCAATACTATTAACAGTATTATTAATACCCAGTGTTGTAAAAAATACTTTTAAAAAGTATTTGAGTAATTACTCAAATACTTATAAAATAAAGTATTTAAAATACCACCCAAATACTATCTATTGTAAAGTATTTGAGTATTACTCAAATACTTTTTAGAAGTATTTGAAATAATTTTCAAATACAAAACAAAAAAAATACGTACGTATACGACATACCTTACCTACCTAATGTTCGTATTATATTTCGCTATGATAATATACTATATTGGTAGGTAGTAGGTACCGAAACGTACCGTTCCGATCGTCGTCGAGTGTCGACGATAAACAGACGGTTTCTCAGAGTAACTAATATTAATTAGCTATTAATAGACGAAAACTAAAACCAATATAGAATTGTTCATAAATGATAAATATATATTATAATATTATTAAGACATTATTATTATTTGACAATGAATAAAAAGTTGAAGGAATAAAAAAAGTATTCAATAAAATAGTATTCAATAGTAAAAAAATGTATTTAAAATACCGTTCAAACACTTCAAAAATAAAAGTATTTGAAAAAGTATTCAATACGGAAAAAAGTATTTGAATACTTTTACTCAAATACTTTACAACACTGTTAATACCGGAGCACATCAATTTATCACATTTTTGGACTATTGTATTATTTTTTACGTATTACAAAGTGCGAGAGTGGCGATTTTGCTTTTTCCTTCTAAGTGACATTGAAATGGAGCACGATGGCTACTTCTACTTAAAAAACGGTTGAAATGAAAATTCTACGTAAGTTAACACATTGACGATCGGTAACGACTATATAAAACATGCCTTAATAAATCAATGTAATAGTACCTACTGCCATAGCAGTAGTGTCTCTTTTTGGTTGGTTTTTAGAATACTGCTATAGCAGTATTATTCAAAAGTGTCCTCTGGAATCACTAAACAAAAATACTGCTATAGCAGTACTTTTTAAAGACTGTCCTAATTTGCATTTGAATACTTTTAATTATAATTATAATTTTACTGTACAAACAAAAAATTATAAAAATATGAAATTCAATTTTAACAAATCATTTTATAGTTATTATAAATGCAAAGAATCATCCAAGTACCTATGTCGAGGCTTCATCAAAATCATAGGAAAAAAGAGAATTAGGATTGTTAAGGGACATAATCATTTACCAGATACAAATGCAGTTGATATGGCCAGCTTCAAAAAAAATTTAAAATTACGGAATGTTAATGAAACTACTGCTTTGAATAACATTTACGAGGAAGAAGCTAGAGAGTAAGTTAAATAAAGTATTAAATAATAAAAATAACATTTATTTTTTACAGTATAGTATATAATTTTTTTTACAATATTTTACTTTCTTGGTTTTTAATGAAGTAAGTATGGTAACTGAAATGAAAAAAGTTTGAATTTTGAAAACTTCAAGAATTTGTGTTAAAATGGAAAATAATAAAGATGTAACACAGTAATAATGAGAAGGTGGGTAATTAAGCTAGCTTCAGTATAAAATATTAATGAGAGAGATCCGATATCACACCCAAGTGGTATAACGATTTGAATCCATAAAAACGTCGGCGTGAATAGTCC